GGAAATATGGAAATAGTCACAAATTTTGAATTAAAAAAATTATCCTATATATATTTTCGTTATATCAAAACTAGGGTGGTTAATTGAATGCGCCGGTTTATATTAAAACATATAACACATTCTGACACTACTCCAGAGTCAGTTATAGGTTTTTAATATAAACTGGAGCACTCCATTTACAACCCTAATCAAAACCTATACTCATGTTTTAATACTTAAGAATTTATTATATCTAATATAAATGTCTGCAAACGAATGGTGTAAAAAATAATAGAAAGAGTCTTATGATACATCTCCAAGATATAAAATCAAAAATTTATTCTTCTCTACGTTTAATCATCATATAATTTTATTTAAATGAACACACAACATCTCAGCGTCCCATTCAAAAGAACAGACATTCAAATTCATAAAACGATACGTCCATAAATTTAACATGAAGATTAGGTCGAATACTTGGTATATTGTCCCAGCATTGTTTATATAACTCAACATATTTTCTAGGAGTCCCAAAAAAATTGTAGGCTCTTTTCATCCGTTGCTTAAAGAATGCATAGCCGAATTGATTGGTTGAAATGTGACCACTAGATAGAACCCAAAAAAAATTCCAAGGCTGAAAATATCTGATCTTACATCTCGGCGATAATTATCATCTAATAAAAACGCTGGATCAATATAGCTTATAATTCCTAAGCACGTTTTCGAATTAAAATAATTATTCGAGAGTTTTGAATATCCCAGATCCGAAATTTTGATCTTCGCTTGATACACCAATACATTATTATGATTCTATATTTAATGAACAAAAATTGGAATTGCTTTTAATTAAACCTTAGCATTTTTTAATAAAGTCAAATTTCATACCAGATCTCTATTAATTATTATGTATGTATTCTAATCTATTAGCTAGTTATAATGTTAATTTTAATTTTTCATCCCCGTTTATTCGCTAAGAAATCTTTCAGAGTGCCACCATCAGCATACTCCAAAACAAGTATGTTTTCATCCAAGATTGGATCTATTGTGCTAACTCTATAAAATTGCTCAAAATTTAATAATTCACTTTTGCATTGATTTTACCTTTTGTGATTCCATGTGCTTGACATGATGTTTTCATGATGTTTAAGTTTAATAAGAAATCTTAAGTAAAGAAGTATCAACAGCACTAATAATATATGTTTATAGTAGTTTTATTTTATTCAAATATAATTGCATGTATCCCTTTAATGAATTGCTTATTTATTTCTTGGATATTCGTTTTTTATCAAAAATCTTTTTACCGCCTAATTTCTATTTTTTACGTTTTTGAGACTTCATCAAATGCTCCGATTCCAACCAGTTTTTTATTTGTAAATTCTTCAAAGTTTATTGGGTTTTCTACAATAGCAAGATTAAATCATTTGTTTCTGTTACAAGAAACCATATCGATATTAAATGAGGTAATTTAATACATGTACAAGTCGTCGCGTGTGACGGTGAATGTTAATAGGCACACATGTATAAAACTACATGTAGATGTATAAACCGGTTCAACGGTTATGAGTGTGTGACGAAAATCACGCGGTGGTTGCATAGGTAAAGCATTTATTGTTCGGCCACATCGAGTCCATGTATTACAGGTATTTCAATTTTGATGTTGATGATAGAATATTGTGATAAATTAACTTTTATCATATTATTATGCACAATTCGAGAGTTAAGTTGACTAACGAATTATAGCACTAATGAAGGGAGTTAGACTGAATGATTACGCAAAGTATTTTCAATGAGGTCTCCTAAGCCAATATATCATGGAGATGGTGCAATCATGATTGAGGAAGTTCAAGAGTAAAGGTAAAGCATAAAATAATAATATTCAATTCCAAAAATAACAACTATTTACTAATAAAAGATAACTTTAATTTATGTTGCAAAAATTACTACAAATAATATTATTCCATAATAATATCAAAATCAAATAACAGAATAATCCAATATCAAAGTATCAAGCACGATTCATCAACTTTGTATGGAAAAAGCAGTAAAGCCTTTGATTTTGTTAAACAAAAAAGAAAGCAAGACATCAATTTTGTTATGACACAAAAGAAATAAAAGCTAAGCTGTAGCTAAAAAAGAATTAAAATTTAAATTATTTTGTTTCTTTGAGCTTCGTGAACTATTCTTTATATACAATTTGGTATTATATATTATCTATACTGCGGATCGTAAATCAATACATAACTCGCGGGTTCTAACGTACAAAGTATGAATTTTTGTAAGAATTTTTACAAAAGGGGCATGGCTATGCTTTAAGAAAAAAATAGAATGTAATTTAATGTAACGATAAGAATTAAATAAAGTAGAATTATTATATACGCTCGGTAGACAAAAGTTTGGAATCGGAAATGATTTATATACAGTGACTCACTAAAGAAATGGAACACGGAAAAAAAATGGCGAGGTTCGAATACCTCGCCATTGAATTATCAAAGTCCAAAAGAATGTGGATTTTATTCATTAAAATAATCGCAATCACTTATACAATTTTTATTTTCATCTATCTTTTGAAATTAAACTAACTTGAATTTTTAATTTTTTTTAGCGTTCCGTCTATTGTGACCGATCTGGAGGATAATATTTAAAGGCAAGTTTTTCTTAAGGAAATATCAGCCATTGTTAAAAAAAACCATATCACACATCGCTAAACTAAAACATTCTATATATCCACTCCTTGCCTGTATCACATCATTGACCCTTTGTGGCATCGAATTGATCAACCTTTCATAAAAGTCAATTTTTATGCTCCTCCAAGCAATTTGTATCGATTGAATTTAAGTCGGGGGACTGGGCGGGCCGGACAAGCAAAGTGATGTCATTATCTCCGAACCATCGCTTGGCTTTTCCGGAGGTATGTTTTGGGTCGTTGTCTTGCTGAAATATGAAATCACTATCTTTCAGCATTTTCTCATAAATTGTGTCTAAATAATTGGTAATTAATATATCGACGTAGACATTAGCGTCCATTTTGCCATCGATTTTTCGGAGTTCAACAACTCCGTTGGCTGTTAGGCAACCCCAGACCATAATGGAACCTCCACCAAATTTTACAGTTGGAGTAACATGGTGGTCTTTTAATTGTTCGCCAGGCTTCTTCCAGCACCATTTGCGTCCGTCCGACCCAAATAATTGGAACTTGCTTTCGTCGGACCAAATTATTTTCCGCCAGTCGTCGACCGTCCAATTTCGGCGTTTTTTTGCCCATTCTAATCGGAGTTTTTTTTTGTGTGTTTTTTTAAGCAATGGCTTTTTTCGCTTAATCCTTGCGAATAAACCATTTCTTCTAAACATACGCCGTATGCTTCACTGAAATTTCGACTCCCAGTTCAGCTTGGAGCTCATGTTGAACTTGGACGGCAGTAGTGCATTTTCCAGATGAAATTAATCGGATGACATTCCATTCGTAACAATCCGAAAGAATGCGTGGAGGACCGGGTTTTGGTTTATCTTCGAAGTTTCTTTGTTTTTACAGATGCGTTGGACTGAAGCTGTTCCGATAATACAATTTCCCGGACCGAATATCCTTGTCGGAGAGTGTATATTCTGAGCATTTTTCTAGTGAAATGCGAGGCATTTTGAAAATTTAAAAATGGTTAGAATTATTGTTTAGAATAACGAAAGTGTTCTATAGATATTGTAGTGCTTTTATACTTATAATTATAGGCCTGAACTTTTTTGTCCAAATCGGCCATATTTCAAGGAACGCTAAGAAAATCATTAACTTGTGAAGTAAAAGATAGATGAAAATAAAATATGCATTAAATGATTGTGATTATTTTAATGAATAAAATCCACTTTCTTTTGGTTTTTGATAATTATTCAATGGTGATCTATTCGAACCTCGCCTTTTTTTTCCGCATTCCGTTTTTTTAATGAGCCACTGTACAATCATTTCCGATTCCAGACTTAATGTATGATACAAACTGTGAATTTTGATAACAATAAGGAGATACGAACTTTTCTAATGATAATCACATTCTTGGGAGCGCAAAGTGAGAATTTTATAAGAACTTCGTGCTATCGGGGAAGACAGTGTTGATGTTATAAGGTTTTTGTAAGAATTTTGCCAAATGGCATTAACATTGATGCTACAAGGTAGGTAAGAATTTTTGCATGTGACGTTAGGCATAAGGATAATGTTTTTCATAGCAGATTACTAACTAGGGATACAAGGCTAAGATTTTCTCGCATTATTTCGTAATCATTTATCGTTGCGACGGTAATAATATCGATTTAAATTAACAACATTAAAATGTATAATGTTTCCTTTTTGTATGTTTTCTCTTATGCGAACTTGTATGAAAATTATTGAAATTAATTACATGTATTTTAAAAAACTCCAAACATTTTGATTTGATTTATTATAAATAAAAGATAAACTACAGTATATTTGTTGAAATTTTATAATAGCTTTTTTATTGAATCTAATCTCTATGAGAACATGTTCGGATACAAAAAAGCTTGGTTTTTATAAAATTCCAACTTTTGATTTTTTATGCACTATAAACTATAAACTGTATTTGTAATGCAATAAATTCAATCAAGCTTATACTTGAGAAATTTCATTTCGTTATTCATGGATCGATACATGGTGAAATTAATATCAGTAACATTGAGTCATGAAATAAAATTGTCTTGGCTGATTGATAAGAGAAGTCTAATTGGTTGAGATTATCAGTAATCAGCTCAGCCTGGACATAAGCAGTAATTACAATGAAAAATCGCACATGTAAATGTACATGTATAATGACGAATTACATGTCATCGACATATTCGCCAAGAATTACATGCACAGACCATAAAAAATAATATCGATATATAAATCACCCTTTTTCAATAGATAACGATAAATAAGTTCACCAAAAATGCAAATTGGAACGAACACTGGTAAGCGCGAAATAACTTTCTTTAATACATGTATTCAGGTTGATCACGCACAATTAACACAACATTTCTATGGCAAAATGAATACAGAATTTCCTAAAAATCTAACCATCCCAGAAGATCTCAAGGTTCCGGCTGGAAATGTATTCAAATTCGTACTATACGGAATCGGAGTAATGGACTATAAATATAGTGAAAGTGAATCTGCTTGGGGCCTTTGTATGTATTTTATTTTGTTATCTTGTATTATATAGGTTGGAGATTGACTGTGTGATACTCGTATGTCTAATTAAAAATTTGAAATAACTCTTTTTTAATATACATATAAACACTCGTTATCGTGCCCCTTTTATTGATAGGTAAAAGCGAATTCATTCTTGCTAATTATCCTAAAGATCTTTACTTTAATTCTAGCTCAATCGTGGCTATGGCATCAGGTGCCGCAGCAGATCAATGTATGGATTCCAAAGCTTATTGAATATATTAACCTTTATAGTATCCTAACCTGATAGATTTAATTATTTCAAACTACAGTTGGCAACGTTCTTGAAGGTGTTACTAAATCTCTTATTCCAGGCGATAATTCACTCTGTGATGGTAAATCTATTGCTATCCGTTATTATCCTGACTCAAAGTCTTATCATGGGGGGTTAGGTAAATCTACGGTACGCTTTTTCTTTTACATCTTGAATAATAATTTCATGATTATAACTGATGCAAAATAACATTATTAATAGGTACATCAAGGATCAGCATTTTCTGATATTACTTATATTCATGTTTTCGTAGATTCAGAACATCCTCTTCCGGTGGATTCTCGTATGTTTATTTTACATTATTACATTATCATCATTATAGAATAGTAAAACGTTAATTAATTATTGCATTTATTTTTTGCATTTTTATTTTTATAGTTTTCGATGGATACATTTATAGTACTCCCGTCAGCAATCTTTCTATATTATTCTATAAGGCTGCATAACGTATTAATTGCATACTGTATTTCAATTTAATTTGTCATTTTTTTACGATGTCAAAAAGAAATAAAAAATGGTAACAATTACATGTACATGTATATAGCGAGTAAACCGTGAGACTGTACGATCACGGGATTCATTAAAGTATATTTTCCGAGTTCCCTAATTGTTCCGTCGTCGATCATTTCTCTGATCGACTTTCTTTTTAGTAATGTCGCTAGCTATGTAATTCGTTGGTTGTAGTGTTGCTATTTTTAGTAGCCTTATGAAAGTCTACTTAATAATTAAAAAGTTTGGGGCAGATCAATAATTAATTGCGAAGTGTATGTTTATTTAAAGATAATAAACTTTTTTTATTTTTATTATTTAATAGTTACAAATGTTAATTATTAACTTGTTTATTAATCTAGCACTATTTCTATTTTCTATTTATAATGAAATTTCTTCACATTTTTCTTATCACAATTCACCTTTATCATGATGTTCAGACTAATGAACCATTTTTGTTTTGATTCATTAGTCAATGCCTTATTGGTACATCACCTACATACAAAGGCAACCCCGTTATACCGAAGTGGTCGGTGCTATTAGTAAAAAATTTTAAAAATTCGGTTTATCCAAAGTTTCATTAGTAAATTCGGTTTAACGGGTAGATTTACTACAACTGATCCTGGAGCCATCTTCGGTTGTAATTAGTGCTTCGGTTAAACGGGATTGCCTTTGTATTTGGGATTTATTGGTGTACTCTATATTAAACCATTTTTTGCATATACTAATTTCACTAATTCTATGCATTGTTAATATACTAATCATAATATTTGATCCCATGCCATGTTACGATATTCGCATGAATTTTTACTTTGGCTTTGTTCTTTGAAGTTTCTTTGGCTCACCAAGTTTCTTGAAAAATAAGATTCTTGGGGACGCCTAAGTTTCTTTTTAAGAGTTTCCTCTGGTTAAAGGTCAAAGGTTTTTCTCTTGGAATACACTCTTGGCTTGACTTTTTACTCCTTTTTCAAAGCAAAACGGAGTGTTCGTTTTTATCTAGTCAAATTATTACTGTTCCATTTATTATTCTTTGACTCCTTTTCTTTTTATTTCTTTTCAAAGTGGAGTAGTCATTTCTAACTAGTCAAAATTGTTATTGCACCTTTTAACTTCTTTTTATTGGAAACTTCTGGTATAGTATCGTGACAGCGATAGCGGTTGTTCATTTCTTGATTTATTTCGAGATTGCCTGAGTATTGCTTTACCAAGCAATAGGATTTCCTCTTGGTTGAATAATTTAACTTCCGAGAAATGCTTCGAAAGAATGGAATTCTCAATTTTTATTTAACTTTAATACTTAAAACTCACCAAGTTAAAAACTGTTTGGGGACGTTGTGACCGCTTATTTTTGGTTGAAAACTCCCGAGTTTTAAAGAGTTTTTCTGTAATAAAATTCGAGATTCAAATCTGATATTTTTATCGGTGTCTTCTGATTATAGACAATCGTTAGTTAAAAGGTGATTACTTTTTATTTCTAAATGATTTAATTCAGGACTTTTGTTAAGTTAAAAGATCCTTACCTCCTATTCCAGTTTTTGATGATAGGCCCCTTTCAAAAGTTAAAAGAGTATTCCTCCTAACTTCTAAATGGTGAAGCCAGGCGTTTTTATTTTTTAAAGTTGGATTACGTTCCACTTCTAATTGGTGATTCAAGTTTTCGACTGAAAGATCATCAGTAGCTTTTTTGTCCAAAATAATTTCGAAATTAATCACTGGCTTTTTCCAGGTTTTTGTCCCGTTTCAAAAAATTCTGACTCCCCTTTAAAAAGGGTGGTGAAAATATACCTCTACAAAATATTTTCAATCGCATTAAGATGTAAAAACGACCTGAATTTGTTCATTGCGAGGCAGTTTGAGAGTTTGTGACCGCCTATTTGTTGTTTGCCTCGCTTGCGATGGAAACTCTCCAGTTTTTAGAATTTTCTGTGATACAACTCGAATTTCAAATCCAAAGATTCTTCTTTGGCTATCTTTAAAGATTCTCTTCCTAGGGATAGCCGTTGTTATTTCATGGCTATAGTTATTTCAACGTAAGACTAACTCTGTTATAATAGAGAATCTTAAGCGTCGTTCCCTTTGGTTTATCGTGAGTTTCTCTTTGCGTTAAAAAAGATTTGGTTCTGACTTGAGTGATTCGAATTCCTCAAGGTTAATTATTTAACCTTGTTGTAACTGCTTTGGTTGTTTATGGCCAGAGATCGACGAACACTCGGAGTCGTAGCCGTAGTATTCTTTTTGATCTAAACAACCCGCTTGATCATTGACGTTAATTATTCTTGTCGTTGGTTTCCGTTAAATCTCCCTTTCTAGTCAATTCTCATAGATCGTAGAATTCATAAATTGGGATTTTGCTCTGGTGATTCCTAATTGGAATGAGGGTTCGAATCCTTCCAAAATCCATGCTAGAGTCACCTACTATGTAATGGAATCACGTATCATTTCGTTCTAGCGTCTAAAAATTATAAAAACCTCTACAATTTGATTATAATAATGTAATATATTCGTACATCATATACTGTCAGATTATGTTGGTTGAATCTAATTTCTGTGAGATATCGTTCTGTATACGTTTCAAAGGAAGAATAATAAGATTTGAGGTGTGAGAATTGGGAGAGTTTCGAAATTGTGGTGTGGGAATTTGGAAGAAATAGGAACTAGTGATTTCGAGAGGAAAGTTAGAAAGAAGGAAAAGGGAATTATGATTGTTAAATAATAACTATTCTAATTCTTTAATAAATGCTTTTACTAGCCGAAAGCCTTAAATTTTTATTAATCAAATCAATCAATTGATTCACTGATGCGTTTTTTAGGGAGCTGAAAATAAATTTCAAGCAAGAAGCACGTGTAACGCACTTTCTATTCGTATTCATGTATTTCTCCCTTGATAAAATCAAAAGGTAAAAAATGATCCATGGGATGTTAGAATTTGCTGCAAAATGGTAATTTATCTTTTTTTAGATGCGTCAGACTTGGAGAGAACGAGAAAATTGGTGGTCTAAACTACATGTATTAATAATGATTCTCTACTTGAAATATCGTCAAATAGAAACGCGGATGCTGATTATAAAAATTTAGTCAACGATTGATTGATCTTTTTGGTTCTTTATCAGCAAGCACAAATATTGAGACCCAGAGGACAGGGAGACGGTATTTTGTTGATTAATGAATATTTTTATGTTTAGACAAAGTATATGAACTTATGCTGAATCTATTTTCAAAGATTAACAGGTTGTTCACAAATATCTTCCTGACTGCTTTGGCTAAATGCGAGCAGTCTTGGAGTGGATATTATTTATTTACTATAATCCTATTTTAATCTTAACTGTATGAACTATTAAGTTATATGTTTTTCATAATTTCGAGGTCAGTCTGAGAATTGTATTTATTAATTTTAACGGAAGATTTTATTGATATAATTTTCTCGGACATCGCAAATCCCGTAATTCCTTAATTTCTTCTCAACATGGAAATCACGACTGTATTTGGAATGGCCAGCATTTTACAACAATTAAACGTGCCACGACTAATGATACTTGACGGTGACGAAACTTTTCGTCACGTCAATTTGACGAAACCTTTCGTCACGACCATTTTTAAAAAAGTCTGTGACAAATGACGAAACTTTCTGACCAATGAAATACTAGCTCATGAATCACGATACCGGACGATGATGACCATTTTAATGCATATACATGTACATATATCGATATCGATCATAATACCGATACAGTACATTCACACGATAGATATTGATATAACGATAATAATAACGCCGATACTTAACATTAATGTTTATTATGACCGAAATGATTTGCAATATTTGCAACATTGTCATTATACAAATTAGAATCCTATTGTTATTACGCGTCTTTCTTTTCGCGTATATCGGGGAAACATGAAACAACACAATAAAGAAAAAAAATTACCTGTTGCTAGAAGACGAAGATCTATAAGTTCTTCCATCTCTTCCGCCTATACCTTTACATCAAGTCTATCAAATGAAACAATTTCCGGACGTCAATTGCCAACTGTTTGGGAGTTTTTTATACGAGGAAGAACCAATCTCCTGGACACTTTTCAGCCATATGTAAATTTTGTCAAGCTAAATGGGCAAGAGGTGAACCATTAAAACTTGAGACACATCTTGCACTAAAGTGGAAGATGAAGTTTGACAGGTGTACTTGCTTCATGTAGCCCAACGTGATAAAGAATCTAAAAAATGAAAATTAAATAATGAACAATCTAATCTTACAAGATTTTTTCCACATATATCAGAAGGGGTTTATCTGAAGGATGAAAGAATTCTATAGATAGTTCTTTATTGAAAGCTTTTGTAGTTTGTGGCATTGCATTTTCTGTAGTGGAAAATCCATTTTTTATCAATCTTCTTCAAAATTTCTGTCCAGATTATCAGCCATCATCAAGTGAAACTTTGTCAGGACGAATCTTAGATCAAGAATGTTCTAAGGTTACTATTAAACGAGAAACTATTTTTCATCAATTTAACTTTAGATATATATTTAATTATTTAAATAAATTAATTTATATTATAAATTACTAATTAAATATACAGTATATATTATTTATAGCATTGGATGGATGGACTTCACCTAATGGAGATTCAATTTATAATTTTATTATTTTAATGATAGATTTGCAGCTATTGTCACGGATAATACCAGTAATATAAAACTTGCATGACAAATTATTCATCAACAACATTCAACTATTTTAAATTTACGCTGTATAGTTTATTGTATTAATCTTATATCTAAGGATATTCTTAGTAAGTATTTATAATTTTATTTTTAAAAAATATATATAATTATTTTAAAATACAATATCCATAATTTAATAAATTATTTGAATTTAATTATTTAATTATATAAATTTTTTTATACTGATTTTTACTTTATTTATTTAGAACATACATTTGCTTTACATCTTGTGAAAAAATGTAATCAAATTATAAATATTTTAAAAAATCACATCAATTGAAAGTACTTTTAAAACAAGCAATTGAAGTATTACAAATTTCTGGTGGTGAATTAAAAAAATTTATTGATACTCAATGGACTTCAGCATATGAAAGTACTACGTTAGTTAGTCAACTTGAATGAGCTTTTATTAAGGTAAAGAATCATTTTAATTAATTTTTATTAATTTTTTATATTTTTAATTAATTTTAAATAATTTTTTATTTAGATAATCCTGATTTAATTTCAAATTGAAATATAAAACGAATTTTAAAATAATCATATTTTTTCTTGAACCTTAAAATTTTAATCAAAATTTTAGCTCCTATTCGAATTGCAATTACAATTTTAGAGAACAACTTTGGCTGATTGCTCTATATAACTTATTTGCTTAGCAGTTGCAATCAAAAAAATTTCAAATAATCAAAACAATACTTTTAAAAATCATTGCTTACAATCTTTTAATCAAAGATGGAAAGAGTTTGATGTGGATGGCTATTTATTAGCATATCTTTTCATCCTGATTAGCATGGTAAGATAATTATTAATTTAATAAAATCATATAATTTTATATTTAGTAATTTGATTATAATAATTTTATTACTATTTAATTTATTATAATTAAATAAATTTAAATAGTATTAAAATTATTTAATTAAATTATTATCACGTACTGAAGTTTAATTTTAACAAGTGACATCTTGTGTTCCAATAATCTGATTTGTTGTAATTATAAACAAATTAAATCATATGAGATTTTTCAAATCGTATTACTGATAAAGTTATTAATTTATTTTTTATAAATTTTTTGAATATTTATAATTATAATTATATTAATTGTTATAATTATTTAGGTATTGTTTTATGTGAATAACAATTTCAAATCATTGCAAAAAGTGCAATTAAAATATGGCAACAAGAAGGACATGATCAGTATGAATATGCAAATATTGTAGCTCATATATGAGCATTTCAAGAAAAAAAGACTGAATTTGACTTGCCATATTGTTTCAAAAATGATACTTCTTTGCTATGATGGATGACAAATTCTACTGGTGCAAAATCTATTGGCAAATTAGCTATTAAAATCCTTTCAATTACACCTCATTCTGTTGATTGTGAAAGAATCTTTTCAGCCTTAGGTTTGATATATGGAAAATGATGACAATGACATTCTTTATTTTGAATTCAAGCTATGTCACAAATTCAATCTTTTTATATTTCAAATATAAAAAATGAGTTAGCTTTTTTTGGTCAAGAATCATCACCTAATAATTTACAAGAATTAATAATATCATCAACATTTCTTTTCAAGGATACTATGGAAAATACAGAAGATGCTGAATTAGAAATAGATGATATTAACTTTTCAGAACATTTAGAAGTTATCAATCAATTAGATATTGAAAATATGGTACATTTAAATGATAAAGCATTCCATGACAAAGAATTTGATATTGATAGTGAAGAATCACAAATTGATAGTGAGGAAGAAATTGATGATAATGAATTTATTATTAAAAGTAAAAAAGGACAAGGTATATTTGATTTTAATCCGGAAGATTTAGTAACAAGATTTAGTAAAGGAATGGGAAATGAAAGAAAGCGATGATAATAATAATAATTATTATAACGATAATATTAGTAATAGTAATGAAGATGATAATGAAAATAATAGCAATAGTAATGATGATGATGATAATAATAATAGTGATGATAATAATACTGGTGGTGATAATAATAGTAATAATGATGATGATAATAATATCAGTAATAATAATAATAATTTACAAATAGTTCTTCGAAAGCCACGTCGTGTAAATAAATAAACAAGTTATTATTTAGTTAAAAGCTTTTGTTTCATTCCATTGTTATAGGCTTGTCAATTGTCATGGGTTTTGCTACTTATTATGAGTTTCGTCACTCGTCATGGGTTTCGTCACTCGTCGCGGGTTCGTCAATCGTCATGGGTTTCGTCAATCGTCGTGAGTTTCGTCGGACGAATGACGTGACGAAATGTTTCGTCATCATGAAAATAGTTTCGTCAGGTATCATTAGCCACAACACGACCATCGATACTAAACAGCAATTAACGTTGACGCATGATGACAAAATACATGTAATTATTCGACACTTCGAGAAATATCTTAACAATCGAAATTTAATGAATAACCATAATACATGTAATAGCTTTCACGTGTTACAACTTAGGAAACTGGAGAAAGCCACAGTTTAAGTCGGGATCGAACCAGTTTGACTTTATGATTATCGGACTGTGGGATCATGACGCTGCGCTACAAGAACAGAACCGTGGTTTAACTCGGTTTAGCTGCTTTTTAAAGTCATGATTTTTGTTTCATATATTTATTCAATCTTTGTGTATAATTTATTTCTTACATTGTTTTTAATTTCGTTATTACATAATTGGAAGAATAGGGAAGGTTAATAAGTAATATTCATAAAATGCTTTATTTTTTTTCGTATAATGTATTTAGCGTCACTTCAATGAATTAAATTATACGAAAAAAATAATTAATTATTTTATAAAAGTTATACTATTTTCGCTTTCTAATTTTTCTCTTAATCTCAAAATTTTACACGACCATGTACAGTATATTCATTAATTCCCGCATGATGTAAACTAAAGCATAAATACAGATAACAATGATATATTTAATTGACCAAATAAAGCAAAAATCAATTTACATATATTTTAATAAGACTGTTGTTCTCTATTCATAATCTATTGGCTGACCATTAATATGAACTTTTCACTAAAATAACAATGGTTTAGTATTTTACTTGTTTTAAATATCGTCAATGTTAATAGTTTAAACAATGACATTAATTGACCTTAATCAAACTCCGAAATTGAACAGTTTTTAAGTGATTATTTTTTTACTAATCAATGCATTAATAATATAAACATAATACGAGCTAAATGACAGTTGAATATGAGGCTTCTAGTTTTAAACAAAAAGCTTATAGACTTTTAAAATAATGAAATCATAGCTGTAGATAAATTATTGCAAACAATGCATCTGATTATGTTTGTTATCGAACAATCATGATCAGGATTATTTGTAGAATATTTTATTAATCAAAAGTAATATATATATGTATATATATATGGCTAAACGAGCGAACATAGCGAGCAAACAAAACGAGAGAATCGAGCGTAAGCATCGACAGTTTGTAGTTATGTTGAGAATGATTTTTGGAGTTCGATATTACAGCGTGAACATTAACGAGATACATGTACATGTATTTGTTAAGATACAGTTAAATAACTTATTTGTAAGAATTACAGCATAATAATTTTTTATAGCCTCCTATTGGTCCATAAATAAAAGATCTAAAGTTTCGTGTGCTTATCGTTATTATTATGTTCAAATATGCATTAGAGCATGTGATGAACTATTTATTAGTATTAGTATAGACAAATAGAATTACATGTATCGATACTGAATGTTTGAAATTAAAATTAAATTCTTTATTTTTGTAATACACGTAGATATTTTCCTTAAAAATCACAATAACATTAACAAATTTAGTTTTATCCAAATCCTAAAAAAAGACTAAACCTTTTCCTCAATGGTGAATTTTGATATGTTAAAAGTAGCGGAAGCAATAATGATTTTTCTTAAATTCCGTTATGCCCGCACACTTTTCCCAAGAAAAGTATTGGAAGCTTCGCCTTTTGTATCAAAGATCGAACTTTCCTTATTGACCCGTCTTTATTAGTTATATCAATATTCATGGCAAATTTCATATTTTTAATAGAGAATCTTATTTTGAAGTCAAAATTCTAACTAGTGAAATACATATTTAATTTAGAATGCAAATTTGCTATTAAATCTGATTTAAAGAAAGATTGTTTGTGTTGTGTATTAAATGACTAGCAACGCAAAAATTTAATAAATCGTAAGCATTTTTCCTTGCAAATAAATTGGTTTACTCAGATACAGCTTATATTCTTACAACATAATATTTTATTAAGCATACAATACAATATCTTATAAAATTCATCATCATTCATCTCTCTTAGGTTTTATTTTTTATAAAAATAGCCCGAACAGTTTTGCTTCTTCCTCAGTCCAAATTTCTTTTGAATAAGGCAAATTAGCGTTAGACTTTTGTATTTGTATATGTTCCATCGAAAGGATATGAGATAATTCTGATTCGGGGGATTCAGGAAAGTCAATATAAGGAATTGGGTATTCTATCGAAGAGATATTTGACGCATCGACAAATTGATGGGGTAACTCGGATCCAGTCAAGTCAGCGTTAGTTGGGTTTTCCATCGAAGCGAGGTTTGACTCATTGACAAATTGATGGGATGATTCGGATTCAGGTAAATTAGCGTTAGTTGGGTATTCCATCGACACACCGATAAATTGATAAGGTGACTCGGATTCAGGTAAATTAGCGTTAGTTGGGTTTTCCATCGAAGAGGTATTTGGTACATTGACAAATTGATGGAGTAACTCGGATCCAGTCAAGTCAGCGTTAGTTGGGTTTTCCATCGAAGCGAATTTTGACACATCGACCAATCGATGGGATGATTCGGATTCAGGTAAATTAGCGTTAGTTGTGTATTCCATTGACACACCGATAAATTGATAGGGTGACTCGGATTCAGGTAAATTAGCGTTAGTTGGGTTTTCCATCGAAGAGGTATTTGGAAAATCGACAAATTGATGGGGTGACTCGGATTCAGGTAAATTAGCGTTAGTTGGGTTTTCCATCGAAGCGAGTTTTGACACATCGACCAATTGATGGGATGATTCGGATACAGCGTTAGTTGGGTTTTCCATCGAAGGGAGGTTTGGCACATCGACTAATTGATGGGATGATTCGGATGCAGGCAAATTAGCGTTAGGAACTGACGTTTGCTTGTACTGCGTCGAAGAAATATTTAGCCAATTGACATGTTGTCTAGACAATGCAGCTGATAATTTTCTGTAATCTTTTTTTTCACCATGAGATATTGTTTTCCATAACTTTGATGCGAATCGAGAAATTTCCTTTGCTTTTTTTATTTTTCCACCCATCTTAAAAGCTTCATTAACCTTTATACGGAAGAGAATAAACGAAGTACATTTCTGTTTTATATTTTTAAAGTCGTCTAAACAAGGAGGCTTATAGTATTTCTCGAACACTTTTTCGTCGGTATCGTCTTCACCATGAGGAACGAAATGGCAATTCATAATGGTGAAAAAAATAACTTACCTGAATACCATCATAAATCTCGAAGCAGATAAGGACTTTATATAATTTTTTCGCAATATATTTACAAAGCATACAATGTATTCATTTGAATCATCAAGGCAAATGAAAGATCAAAATTGTGCATTTTTCATTACAAATGAAAGCTCTAATAATAACTTTCAATGTTATTTCATTTCGTTATGTTGAAGGCTCGTACGTTTGCATTCAAAATTCATATATTCAATACACAATGCATATAAAATAAACATACGAATATGACATGATGTGTACATGTTTTATGTCTTTATGACTAGCATATATGCAGCGTGATCTAAATGCCCTTGGAATTGGGATTACAAATGATATTATTCCAACAATATTAAATGACGCTTGGAATATTAGAAATGTATACCATGACGTCGGTAAAATCAGATCGAGGAGCAAATGCCATTAGGACAAAAATTTTATACTGGTATTTTGTTAATAACATCAGCATGAGAGAATATTTAATATTAAATTGCTAAAAAATTTTGCATGTGTAATTTAAAATATCTCTCTGATTGTAATACATATGTACAATAAAAAATAATGTAGCACAAAGCTTTTATTGTACGAATTATCTGAGAATATTTCTTTGGTAATGTCAAAACCATTTAATTAGAAGATTATTTTAATTTACAATGCTAGAATACAAATATGCCTCAGATACAATATCTCAATAAATTTAGATCCATATATTAAAAGTATTATTTTAATCTTTTCTGAGCTTATAAGTCATTATCTAAGCGTTTCGAATACCCCAAGTCTGCGATTTTGATTTCTCCATTATGAACGGGGATATTATTATGGTTCTTTGATGCAAGAAGATAAATAGCTATTAAAATTCTACTCAAGGTGTAAAGTGAAATCGTAATCTTTTATAAAGTTAATTACAATATTTAAGATATTAAATTACAATTTTATTTATCTGAGTAAATTTCCTATTTTAAAAGTCAAAAATTTATTTCTTCATGATATGACTGAAGTTATATACTTCGAAAAGTGAAAGCATCAGAATAATTTGTTACTTTGAATCTTATTTTTTTGCAATTATACGCAAGCACTAATAAAATTTTAGCATACTGCAAATGTTATGCTCTCAAACGTATGTGCTCTCAAATGTATATGCATTTACACCTGATTAGATTGACTAATCTTCAATTAAAGCATTATCGTTATCGTAATCGTTGTGCATGCAATGTATATGTACGTATATACATTTATTATGAACATGTACATATGGTTGGTTTCGTCTGTCAATGCAATGAAGATATTAATAAATCATTTCTTTTAGAATACATGTACATATAGTTCATAAATCTAACATATGCATTTATAATGCGAACTTGCAAGAAAAATTGCTAAAGATCGGATATCAATATCCTATATCGATATGTCCTTATAGAACTATTCATTATAGATGCATAACTGATGAGTGGAAAAAATGCTATAATGAGCAATATGACATTGCAAATTTATAGGGGAAATCGAGATATTTAAGCGAAGGATGAGTCTTGTGATGAAATTGTATTATCTTGAAAGATATCTTGCATATAAAAAAATGCTATCAACAAAATGTGTAGTGATGGTATAATTATTGATATCTTTGATATAATATAACATTTACTTCTTCACACTACTCATCTTCGTCATAATACCCCGCATTTTATTAATCAATGTGCAGATAATATAGACACAAAATTTATGCATATGACTTGTATTTGTTTCTATTTTTCTCGTCTAACAGATTGTACATTTCTTATTTAAAACTCAGCCATTAAGGATATCTTTAATAAAAGTTACTCGATATTACCTTTTATAGTTTCGATATGTTTGCGTATTATTCTTAGACTTATTATTTTATTACAATCAAAATCCCCAAGATTGGAATCTTGTGAATTTTATTTAATTTATACCAACAATAAACAAAATATTTATCTCGTTAATATACAGTGTAAATGATAATATAAATGAAGTTATTGTTTATTATCATATTATTAACCGAAAGTGATACACAAGTAAAAATGGAGTCGTTTTGCTGAGTTGCTACCTATGCAAACTTACAGCAAAGCCACTATTGCACATCAAATTTGATGCGCTTTTCCCCGAGGTTTTCTGATACTTGATAAACTTTCAGAAATCCACGTGGAATTGCGGTCAATTAAGTCACATGATACCATTCAGATACTTTATTGATTATTGTTAAGTGTACAGTATATACTATTTTGAATCTTTTTACGAATCTTACAGCTTGGATTGAAGACAATTTTCAAAGATGAAATATATACTCACTTTTTTATAACATTTCTTTTTTTACTTGATATCTCATCAGCAAACTTTGATATTTATATTGTTATAGGTGTTCTTTACAAATAGATGTACCTGATAAATATGAGTTGGAATATAGACTGAATTATTCAAAATGGCTAAGGAGAGAAGAAATATAACAAAAATTATTATTCAAATAAAGGAAACAAAACTATAATCAAACAAATCAAAGATATATAATAAAGCTAAAAACTTTGCTTTTTATGTATAGACAAAGTTGAAATACATCTCCAATCTAATAAAACCAAGTTACTTAAGATAGGAAAAATGAATAGAGCAATTATCAAAGTATTTATATATTTTAATCATATACAAAGCAAACTCGTTAAGACGAAGCCACGCTAAGCTAAAATTGCATTAAGCCGAAGTTTTTTCTGGTTTGCCAAATTTTTTATTATATATACTGTAAATTCGGCTTTGTTCGAAATTTAGTAAAACGAAAATCTCGATAAGCCGAACAAATTGTCTCTGCCCCCGACCTTCTGTCTTATCAAATTTGACTTGTAGCAAAGGCTTTCTATCTAATATACTTAGATTTATAAAGAGAAATTTTCAAAGTTGAACATAGTTTATTGTGAAAGATCCAATATAAGTTCTATATCATGACTTTGATTGCTAAATGGTACTTTATCGGTTATTACCTCACTTCATACACAATCATCACAAAGTTATAAATTTAGTATATGGCTTCCATTTAACATCTTTGACTTATATAAGGAAGTAATTTATAATTTCAAGATCTTTATTTATATTCCTTTTTTCCAAAAAATTTTACTTGCAACAAGAATTTCAATAATTAATTAATTAATAAAAATCAAATACTCTACAAATTTGATTTCTATAACTGCTTGTATACTACGTTCAAAGTCAGCAATTTGAGAAGATTCATTAATCATATACAGTATTTCCAGAATGAAAGATACAGTGCACAAATTCCTCTTTGCGAATTTTTTTAGAAAATGATTATTTTTTTCTTAGTTTATAAATTCTGGAGTAATTTTTCCCACTTACTTTAATCTAACCGGATAAATCTTTCAAAGCGATCTGTTCGAATAATCCCTTTTTATTAAATTTGTTGTATTCTTTTATTAGATTATCCATATCTTTATCTCTATTGACAATTCATCGTTATAAATTTGTGATATTTGAAATACCCTTCACAGCTGTACTTCTTTTCTTGACAAACAGAACATTTACTTTAATCATGAGTATTGTGAACAAAACATTCATCGCAGCACTTATCTTCTTGACAATCAGTACATGCATAAGATTTTTCTATATTCGTTGTCGTTGAAATGATAAGACTAAATTAACAATTTGAGCGATTAAAGATGAAAGTCACGAGGTACAAACTTTTCTCTGTGAATGATTGCCAACTTAGTCTTTCATTCCAATCAAAGCCTCGTAGTTGAAACTAATACAAGTGAATTAAAGGCATCCGTACTCCATGTATTAGTAAAATTTTATTAATCGAAAATTTATTAAAAAATTTATTATATCGAGGGATTTAATATAGACTGCTTTTGACTATATCAAGGTTTTGATTATCCACCTGTACATGTATATTTAACGGTGTTACCCAATATCCTGACACCACCATCTTCACGAAAATCCAACATCCCGACAATCCATCTTTTCTTTACGACAACCCGACATCCTTACAATCATCTTCCCAACAATCCAACATCCTAACAGCCTTAACTTCCCGATAATCCAACTTCCCGAAATTCAACACCCGACAAACTTAATTTCCAATTTCCCGAAAAATTTACTTCAATTTCTGGTTTATTTCTGGAAATTGGGTTTGGCGGGAAGTTAGTATGTCGGGATGTTAGATTGTCGGGATGTTAGGCTGTCGGGAAGTTGGATTCTCGGAATGTTAACTTTTCGGGAAGAGCCCATAATTAAAGCAATTCATTAATTAATAATAAAACGTAAATTTAATATAAAACTGCTTAAATAACAATGAATAAACTTATATATTAAGCGTATAAAGCTATTTCAAATTTAATGTTAAGTAAAGCAATCAAAGGAATTCCACAAATTTGTGTAGTTAAATATAAAATTGTATATAAATTTAGCTACTATACTAATTAATTTTTGCAAAAGCAAATATTTTCTGAAGAAGGACCATATGTTACTGTAGTGACATAAAATTCCTTAATTTCTTAATCTTTTCTTGATTATGTAAAATCAGGTGCAAGTTTATCTTTACTAGCATTGACCTTGATTACTTTGTTGCCATAGTGAAATGTCATGGAATTATTACGCCAATCAATGGTGGGATTAGCATGATAAAGCCATGGTTTACCAAGTATAAGATCTATACGTATTACATGCACTTGCAAAGTTTCTACATTTAAGAAATGATGGAAAAAAGACTAATGTTTATATGTTTTGATTGTTAATTCCAACAAAAAATATTCAAGAATTTTGCTATATATTTGAATTTTTTAGTTGAGATCTTTGATATAATTTCGGTTAACGCTAATAACCGAAATTTCTATGCAGAATATGGACTAGCGTTAACATCAATTTTCGTTAATAATTTTTTATTGCCAATTGTTTTCATCATTTAAAACAGAAAATTTATAAATTAATATTTTAATATAAACTTTATTTAGAGTATTTTTAACCGGATGTTTATTTTGTACATACTCACAGTCTATTTATTTATACTGTATTTTCTAAATTCGAAAGGTAACGAAGAAAAATTTTGTTAAAATAAAATTAATAAATTAAAATCATTTTTGCAAAATTTGAAATACTTCATAATCATCAACCTCAAAATTAATTTTTGTATCAATTTTTGTATTATCAGGGTTCAATAGAGCGTGTTCATATGAAGATTGTTTGCAATAGTTACCACTAAATGGATCGAATAAAGTTAAATCGTTTATACCAAAACACGTTCCATAACCTTGATTACAACAAATACTATGTTCTGTATCTTTAATTTTACTTATAAATCCATCGGATTCATTCGAGTCAAATTGAAATAAAAAGCTATTTTGCGTCTCACACCATCCAGTGGTTGAATTCCATTCCAATGGATTGTATCCGCCAATTATTTTTCCTGAATCTTTAACCTTAATCGCAACTATTGTTGGACCTGCGTTATCACAAAGTCGATGAAAATCTGCTGCAGTTAATCCGTCTCGACTGCCTCGTAATAATAGCTTTAAATCAAACGACTGAGTTAATTTCGTATCTTGCGACTCTATCCATCCATTTATTTTATTGATTTGGCTTCGGATAAGTATTGTGGAATTTCGAAGAGGATGTTTGTTAGCTTGAATCACTTCGCTCCCTGGAACCAAATAATAATGCAATAAATCCTTGTATAGCCTTGGTGATAAGAGTTCTGAGTAGGGCATTACTTTGTTGTAAAAGTCAACAGAATTGATGTGGAAGAAACGGATCAATGGTAAACATTGTTTGAGCGCAAATCGCAATTGCCTAAATTCATTTTGTGTCCATTTCTCCACGGGACTCGTAAAATCAATATTCTCATAATAGAAAGGTTGAACAGTTCCCCATTCAAGAACCTTCTCCCAAATATCAATTTCTTGAAGATTCAAATCATTCCGTTTGAGCAAAGAAACCAGCGCGTTTTTATGAAGTTTAACAAAATCATTTGATTGAAATTTATCAAAATCATTTGATTGAACAATAGCGGCAGGATTTTGACATGCAAAATCTGTGCAAAATTTGCGAAGTTTCGTAAAAGAATTGTGCTCAAGTACGACTTTATTGATCAAGGAAAGATTTTTAGTCATCGACTCGATATGATGTTCCAAAAGAAGGTTTTGAATGTATTCAAGCAATTCGTCAAGAACCAACTCATCCACAGCAATCAATAAGTCAAAAAGTGTCAGCATTCCATATTTTTTCAAGTCGATTTTGCCACAATACATATATCTAATACATCATGAAATAAATTTCATTTACTGTATACATGTATCATAACAATACGCATCATAATTATTTACCTCAATAAGATTTCAAAAACACGTGGCGAAATATTTTGTTTCTTAAGAGTAATCATTTTATTTGGTTCTCGTTTCGCCCACGTATCGGAAAGTGCGACGGCGAAATATTGGGACTGCGCCATTAAAATAGAAGAATGTGCGTGAAAAGTTTGTGAATTTTTTCCATTGCCAACAATTATCGAAATATCACAAAAATTGCCCTTTTCGTAAAATTTAATCAACTTGTTTGAATGTGAAGTTAATAGGTCGGTCGTCATAGTAACTTTATTATTTTATTAGCGTGAATTTTCGATTTGAGAATACGTACCGCATTTTGCGAAATATATACCTTCCCGTATTGGCTCTTTACCCTATTTTTTTGAACCTTAAAAAAATAGTGACAAGCTTTTGATCAGATGCTTCGTTTAAATTGATTTTAATTGGTCATCGAATGTGATTGCATTTACATATATTTAAGCTATTAGATAAAAGATATAAAATTTAAATTTATTATTATCGATCGTTATATGTATTAAATAATAAAATAGGGTATACTATCATGTGTTTTTATTGGGGAGGGTAAAAAATCAAAACGTTGTTGCTTATACATGTACATGTATTCTGCAAAATACAGTATTCACAACGATAACGATCGCGATAGGCTACTTGCAGCATTTAAAAGTCGTTATACATGTACATGACATATCGATATACATATATCAAGAATATCTTATTGAGATTCATTGTTGCCACATCGTCATAGTATCCAATATAAAAGAATCTCACATCATGACATAATATTCTACTTTTATTAATCAAGTTTTGAATATAAAAAATTTTAAAGATATGGTCAATGCTTTTAAAAGCCACTTAGACCAATATTTCTGCCTTGCATATTTTTGTGCTAAATAAGCGCATAATATCTAAGCTCATCAATATTTTAAAATTTATAAATTCAATAAAATTTTTGATAAAGAAAATCCAAAGTTTAATTCGAATATTATTATTTTATGATAATTCACGGATTAAATTTTGTATTTGCTTCTTTTCAAAAATTTTCTTGAATTTATAGATTTCAAAATATTGATGAGTTTAGATGTTATTGATTTAAAGATATAATAATGTAATATTATTTCTTCAATTGACATTTTGAGTTTTTTGTCGTATTATTAGCGAAAATTTAATGTTTTATCAAGCGCATATAATAGATATCCATTTTTATTTGATAAAAAATGCAGCATATGAAACACTTGAAAATAGACAGTTTTCGAATTCGAGATTCGCCTGATTAGATAAAAAATAATAAATTATCCCGAGTCAAATTTGTCTGAATTTATAGTTATTTTTTGCATTGCCTATCTCACCAAGCAAGTGCGCGTAAATAAATGGAAAGGTTATACTTTATTTATATGACATAATATCTGATTGTCTTATGTTTTTGAATAAAATCCATGAATGTTTTGATTAGAAGGTATTTTGTCTTTTAATAATTTGATATAATAATTTATGGTTTATTTCAAGAATTATGTCTGATTATGATTCGGTTGATGTTACTAATAATCTGACGTGCTGTTTTCAACATACCGTGACTCGCAAAAGAAAAGAAAAGCGAAAATTTTTACGAAAAAATTCTAGTGCCTCTCACATCGATTAAATGTTTCTATACTCATTTCAAAGCAAATAACCTAGAGAAAGCTAAAAATATGCTGATATTGTCATTCTAAAGGAATCAAATGATCTAGATGAATATTATTAATTAGTGAAATTTCAACTTCAAATGGTCTTGTGATCTATGACACTAAACTCATACTTTGCATTTTCAATATTACAATTCTTAGAATATCTCAAAAGTGTCTTAAATTTGAAAGGAAAATAAATAGAAAGAACTTGATTTTGAGATGAAGTCGCAAAAAGCAATATAAAAAACAAATAAGTTTACACCTGTCGAATTTTTGTTAGGTACGCAATTTTATTTCATACCAATCAGAATGACATTTCAGATTGATTTAAAATATTAACCATTTAAGCTCTACATGTGTTAGTTTCTAATAAGAGAAAATATTATTTTCATTAATTTCTTTAAATCATTATTTTTCTTTCTGATAAACCACATGAAATTATAGATTATCCAGATTTAGATATTATCGTTATCATTAGTTGATTCATAACAAACTAAAAGTGGTTTCAATTTCTTTGTGTTGTGTATATTTACTGTATTATTTTAATCATTTCTTTTATTGATATCAAAATTTATCATATTTATAGTTTATATTTTTTTCATGAAGGAAATAAATGATTTTTACTTCAAATTTCTTATTAATTAAATTTAATCGTGAATTAGTAAAAATGTGTGACAATACTAAAAGATGTACACCCGGGTGGACAAAAAGGTTTGAAATCGGAAATGTCCACCGAGTGCACATCTTCTAAAGTGAAAATCAGTTAAATTTACTTTTTTTCTAATCAATATTGTGGAATGACTAACGAATACTCAATAGTATTCTATGGTGAATTTCACCAATATAGAGTGAACTCAAAGATGGGATCAAATACTCACGAGTGCAATGAATGTGCATCATTGCAATAAAAAATTTCTATGTTAAAAGAATAATTGCAATGACTGTTTTTTAAATCATAAACGAATTTATAACAATGAATTACTAGCGGAGATAAAGATATCGGCAATATAATAAAAGAATGCAATAAAATTAAAAAGTTAAAACATTCGAAAGGATTCCTTTTAAAAGAATGACCAACGTTGAATATATTGCAAAAAAGAATGTTTTGTGACGATTTATAAAGCAACATGGGTTACACAATTCAAACCAAATTACTCCAATTTAATACACGAGGTAAAAAATGAATGTTTTCTAAGTGAGAGCTTTATGTTTCTAATACAATCAAAACTTTTCAAAAAATAGATTCAGGACGTATAGAAAATCTAACCAAGAGATTTATGGAATACTTCCTTATATGAGTCCAGAGGTTTAAGTGAAAAGCCACAAATTAAAGATGCAGATATTTATAGCTTTTCCCTATAAGAAATCGATGCACGTAAACATACGTAAACGTACATAAAGTGCGCGTTTTACTTGTGTTTCCCGTGAGTTTACAAGACGCAAATGTATGGAAAACACACATAAAACGCGCACTTTACGTGCGTTTACGTATGATTACGTGCATCGATTTCTTAAAGGGTTTGGGATGGTTATGTATGAGAATGTAACTAACGAACCGTCATTTTGTGAGCAAAGTCAAGATAAAGATCTTGTAAATGTCAACTGTTATTCTTACCACCGATGGAAATAGTGAACTCAGAAAAACAGATTAAAGCATCCAAAAATAATTAAACTATCGTCGAATTTCACTGTTTGTGTGGTCTGATGGCCTTTTAAAGGTTCGTCAGGCTTTTCAAACAATATTTCTTTCCGTCTGACCCAAATAGTTGGAACTTGCTTTTCAATAGTTGGTCGTCCAGCTTCGGTGTTTCTTTAATCTCTTCTTTCGGTGAGTTTCATCTTTAAGCTCGCATCGGACTTGGACAGCTATGGAACATTATCAGAACTTGTATTAGTCGTATCACGTTCCGTTCGTAACGCAGTGAAAGAGTTGATGTGCAACCGGATCTTGTTGGAATGAGTATCCCTCAAATCGAGGAGTTCAAATATCGCCAAACTTTTATTGGGAAATCTGAGACATTTTGGTACTAAAATTTTGGTTTGGTTATTAGTTATATAATACCAAAAAAAAAGGGTATTTTTATAATCGTCTTTTAGCCTTAGTTTTTTGTTCGGTTTCGGTTATATTATGAGAAACGCTAAAAGATCTGAAAAATATCTTTCATCAGAATTTAGATATAAAAATAAATTATGTTAATAGTCATTATTCTTAACTATCAGAATCACTTACCTTTATCCGTTAATATTTCTTTTAGGCTTGAAATATCAACATTCGTCTTTTTTTCAAGCGTTCCGTTTATTCTGTGAGCAGCTGTATATCTTCTTTTCTGATCTAGCTTTGAACTGTATCCATCTCTCATCGTCGTAGAATATAACTATATGACTCAATGCTGCTGCAAGTCTCATCAAAGATCAAACGTACCCTGTTACAGATAGGAAGATTGTGGTATTTCTCAATTTGACTATTATTATGACATAAAATTTGAATCAAATCAATTCATCAGATGTATTACTTGAATAAGTTATCGATTATTCAGAATCAAAATAAAAATAAATATTTGAATTATTTATTTGTTTATGCAATAAAGATATTATAATGCTTTCAATAAATTCTGTTAATGCTTGACATATTTATGCAAAGGTGTTTTAACTCGATGTGTAATGTTCTTATTGTTAGTTTGCAAAAATTATTAAAGCAACGTTCTATTGTTTGCTATTTTTGTTCTATTTCATAATAAGCTGATGCTTTGCTTGTATTATTATCGAGTATTTTATTAAAAATTCATTTATAATTAAATACATATCATCTAAGTGTTAATTTGTACATGTATGTTCCAAATGATCTGAATGAAGGCAAAAAACAACCATATTATCGTATAAAGCAACGTTATTTTAATTAATTAAGTTTTATATTAAAAATGGAAATAGAAAGATTAAATGTGTTTCTTCCTCATTTATTGATGATATTTTCAAGTGTAAGTTCGGCTAGACATGTTAGTTTAACTGATATTAACAAATCTGAGCAAAATATTAAATTTATTTTGAATTCAAATACGCCATTTTCAATATTGTTTCGCCTTAAAAAGATGTAACTGTGAATAGGAGTGTTGGACTGAATATTTTACGATTAAAGAGATTCTTTAATGTTCTAGGGGTTTCCTGTGACGGCTTGTACACAAATCGATTTTAGTAATAAAATCGGAAATAATGAAATAGATTGCACGGAAATTTCTGATGACCAACAGTAAAAGACAAAATGTTAGGACTTAATGACGCAGCCTGGTAATGACACAAAATAGATATGGTTTCAGCTAACCAAAAACTAGAGAATTTAAAACAAAGTTGGACTTAGCTTTTGCCATCAAAAATAATAACGATTTTTGCCAACAAATCAATAGAAAAATTTGATGTATGGATTATTTATAATGAAGTTCCTCCACTACTTGCATAGACCAAACTTGAAGTTAATCAACGAAATAAGTAACAAATAAGGTAAGTGCTATTTTTATTTTATTGGATTGATCATATTATTCTTTGCTAAAGAGATTCTCCTTTTATACATTTGTTCTTCTTGCTTCGATCTAACTACCTACGACTCTCATAATTACTAAGGAACATGCGATGTCAGCAATATAAGAAATTACAAAAGAAAATTTGCAATTACACATAAAGAAAAATACTAGAGAAAATATTTAAGAAAATAACAAGAGAAAGTTTTTAAGAAAATACGGACAAAAATATGTAGGAAAACACGAACCCATAAAAGGAGTATGTACAGGTTACACGAAACTCCTGTACAAAGACAAAATTTTTAATGAAGTAGCCGACAAATGCAATTAAACAGTTTTATCTGCCAATCCCTTTCCATTGCTTTATTTGCCATAGATACTGAATTTGAAACCCAATACATATAGCACATGCGACTCGTTTCTGAAGAATATAACAAGCGTTCAATCATATAAAACGATGGTATTCTCGCCTTGCTAAAGAACTTTATACTGTTTATTCTCGCACATACCACACAATGAAAGTCGTCATAATCCCGCTTAAAGAACTGGATGCACCTGGTTGTAATTACTTCAATCTAGTCATGCTTTCAACGCAGAGTGGTGTCTTGATCTCCATGGTTTTCTTAATCGCGACGAGTTCAACACTCAACTTAATGAAATCAACGACTATACCAAAAAGTATCCACTATTGAGCGAAAAAGCAAAGGATTTTCTTTCGTAAGTCAGTCTGCATCGGAGTTGCTGTGCTCGTAGGACTATTCTTTATTGTAGCTCTTTATTCCGTAGACCATCAAGTTACACCTTCTATAATCATCGAAGTCTGCAATTTTATCGGATACTGGGCGGGTAAATATTTGATCGAAAGAATAGCAAAATGTCGAGCAAAAGAATTCACTGTTGCCGAAACAGTTTGTTCGCACGATACAACATAAACCAGAAGGAAAACCCAACTGCCAATTGGAGGCTTGTATGGCGCTCTAAACTTAACCATTTTTCAATAAGTATGCAAACAAAGCAAGAATGAGAAGAGTATCAAAGGGCGAGCCACACCAAAATATGCCGAGCATGCAGAGATAGCACTTGAAATTCATGACGCCCTCTCTGATCTTACCGCTAATACCGTCCGTGTGAAAATTGCGGCGGACGCCATTTCTTAGAACTTGCCACTGTCACGTGATACTCAAAAGAAGATTGTCTTTATAAAATATTTTTACATTTCCGTAACTATTGTGGGGTAGATAATTGGCTCTAAACTTATTCGCAACAGCTATGACATGAAGAGCGTTCAACGTATCATATTTATTATATCATTATTTAAAACATAATTATTAATAAAATTTATGTATATGTACATATATAGAGAAATATACAGTACATGTAATTGTAGTAAATGTTTCTATCTTGTTAGAAAATTACCGCGCAGTGAATGTCAGACAAAAAATCAACTACATGTAAAAAATGTGTTACATTAATAAGTTAAAAGTTAAATTCATGTGATGTGATTTTAATGCATCTACTGTTCTGTATGCTGATGCTTAAGGTTAACAATTGGAAGTGTAAAGTTAGCATTAATACAGCAAAAATATAAATGTACATGTAATATGGTTTTTTGCGCACGATCACATACAAACTACATGTATATTGTATGTATAAATCATTACGTATCGATAAAATAAACTCAATTATAGGATCAAATTCTTACGAATGTTAGCATATCAAAAAGAATTTACTGCGATAAGTGTTCAGTTCACAATACTCACGATATATCGATTGTAGCTATCTCGATTATTATAAACGAATTTATAAAGCCGAATGTTCTGGTGAAAAAAAGATATCGACAGTCTAATAAAAGAATGCATCAAATTAAACCATTTTCGAATATATTTATTTATCATCCTTTGAATATGTTGCAAAAGAAGTTTAAGAATAATCTATAAATCCTAATTAACTCGTTCTGCTTTTCTTCATTACGTTATTGGTTTATTCTGTCTGATTGTATTTTTGGCTCATCCTTCTGTTCTGCTCTCTGTTTATAAGTTTTAATTTAGAGATTGGAACCATGTGCAAAAACTTCACACAGATACCCCGGATGAATTTGGATTAAACTTTTTCATACGGTTTTTTGCTTTTTTATTAGTTTTTTTTTGATATTTTCATTATTAAAGTTTCAAACTTATCTTCAGCTTCAAAAACACATAATGTCAATCATGAATAAAAGAGTATTACATGTCAATCCATCCTTAATTAGTTCAATAACTCATAATTTCTCTAATTGTTGCTTTTTGATGTTCACAAAGTACACACATCAAATGTATTGTTCCATTGCAACGAGAAGTCTCGTGATTACGAAAATTTGTATCCCTAAATCCCGTGATTGTCGATTTTATGAAATGAACCCGTGATCAGTTTAATTATTTGAAGGATTTCACATGGTTAAGTACCACACTGGGGATGCATTAAAGCGTGGTATCCATGTGATCTGACACGGGATAATGTGGCTGATATTCATTCCGGAAGGCAATCTGCCACCGTAGTCAGAGATCCATTTTCCGAGTGTGTATGATAAATATCAAATCAATCTTTTTGCTTTACACTGACTCATGTGTACCTACAAAATTACTTGCAATATTACTTGCAATGTCTTGAAAGAACTATTTCTTTGTAATGCTGCTGGCGACATGTTCTTGATGATCAGATTTTCAATGTAAAAAACGTAATGTGTTGGACAAAGTATTTTTTTTAATGTATTTTTTTGCTCTAACAAACTAGATTCATTTATTGTTGGTTATTCACAAACATTATTCTACTAAATTTATTTCTTGTTGATTATTCACTATACCATTTTACTCATTATAAAATTTACTTTTTTTTATTCACTATAAAACTTCTTTTTTTACTCACTGCATTATATTTCTCATTATCATGTCTGTTACAATTTGAACACGTGTAAATCATGTATAAATCTCTTGATCAAAAATAAAAAAAATGCGTTCTCAAAAATCTAAAAACATGCTCTCAAAAAACTAAAAATGCATTCGACAATGAGCTACATATATAAAAATAGACTTCGCAACTTTAACTCCTAATCAAAAGCGCATCCTTCTCTTCAATATTAATGAATTACTCAAAATTCTGCTAGCTGAATTTAATAACGAATAGTGGCCTCTCATCTTGAATTTTTGAACTCAATTCAACTACAAATATCATACTAATAGTAACTCTTGGAAAACGTTCATTTGTCGCTTTAATAAATCTAAATAATCAAGTACCTGAAAAGAAGAGATACCGAGTGAAAAATGTAGAAAATCAGTAATTCGGCCAGAAAATCTCTATTTTGCAAAAATTAAGATATTTCAGTTTGTGGCTGAACAAAAAATACAGATTGAATAATATTAAGATTCTCCTAATCACGTATATGCTATAGATAACAGTGAAAGATTAAAGCAATCACAGACTGTTTGTATCTTAGTTGAAAATGAGGCTGTAAAGAATTATTCCCCATCAGAAATCGTAAGCACTGTTAAAGAATATGTGACTGAGAAATTAGATCTCAGTTCCAGTGTAGGAAAGTTAAGAAGAAGGGAGGTCGCTAATATAAAATATCAAGTTAACCGAAATCAAAACTCTTATTTTATTGGTGGTGTTAATATAGAATCTAATATAAATGAAATAGTTTCTTTACTGGCAAATAAGGAATATCAAATTAAACAATATCAAATAATTCAACAATCTACTCAAGATCTTATTTTTGCGAATCTGGATCAACTTCAAAAGCTTCAAAAATATGGGTGACTAACACTTATTGATTCCACTCACAAAACTAATAAATATAACTAGTATTTATTTACGCTATATATTCATGATAGATCTGGATGTTGAGATGTGGGTGGACATTTTTTTGTAAGCAATAAAACTAGTAATACAGTAGTGAAAGCTCTAATAATTATTTAGTAATTTGCTTGCTGCTGGAAACCTCAGTACTTCCTTGCAGACCAAAGTAACGTGGAAGCCAATAACATCACAATTACTTTTTCGGATATTCAAAAAAATGAACAAGAATGTGACATTCTTTTTTGTACTGTCCATGTTATACAGACTTGGATGAGTAAAATCTATCATATAAAAACTTGAGACAAAATGAATCAAGTAATGCATAAATTAACAAAAATTGATTGTGATAAGTTTATTCAATAAGCAATCAATAATTGTTTGGTTCCTGCTATTTAGCAGTATATTTTAAGAAACTATGCGCAGAACACACACTGATGGACTCTTTAGGCCCATCAGCATTCTCCTCTTCTTTTACAAGTAACCTTAACAAACACCTTGGAGTCCTTCCACAGTGAATTAAAAAAAACAACCTCTCCTTATCATGGTCTAGTTGGTATGATATAAATTTCTTTATACACTGCATTTCATTACTCAATTTAGTTGCTAGTTTTCATTTATTACATGATTATGTTATTAGTAGAGAGCTTGTCACGAATTCAAATAAATTTGAATTCGATTATAAAAAAGTATTGAATTAAATTCATGATAAGCTCTAGTTACTAATATCCATTTATTATGTGATCACATTACTAGTCTTTTCTATTGATTATGTAATTGCATTACTACTCTGTTCATTACATGATTGGGTTATTAGTCTTCTCCATTAGTTATGCGGTTACATTACTAGTCTTATCTATTAGTTACGTGATCATATTACTAATCTTCTCTATTGGTTATGTGGTCATATTACTACTCTTCTTTATTCATTACATGATCTGGTTATTATTCATTATGTGATCATATTTCTGAAGTTTTAAAAAATAATCCTACCAGCAAGAAACTTTTTACAAGTTAGTAATTGGATTATGCTGCTAGTGATCGTGATACTATTTTTTATTCATTACGTGAACATGTTGCTAGTTTTTTTTATTTATGCTATCAAACTAATTCTAATAAATTTTTCTAGACATATGCCATCACGTTATTTTACTTGATGTGAAGAAGTATTCGGATTCCAAGTACACTACCTTTAGATTTTATACAAGGAAGATTTCCATTGCTGATATTGACTGTGAAATTCTTGATGAAATTCACAAGTTCCCTTTCTCCATTTAACAAATAATCATTAATAAAGCCTGTGCCATTGAAAAGAGAATAGAACATGGCAAAGTAACACTTGGTTTAATGTTGCCTGATTACTATTACCTGTTCTTTCATAAATATTGATTGCCCTGTCAACACATCTTCCACAAGCATATGTATAAAGCCAGAAAATTATTAACAACTAGTGTTTGAAAAAATTTTCAGCAAATGTTTAAAGAGGATGGGTTTGAGATATATGGACATCATGAGTTAGAAGAGGTGATGACATCTAAAACTGAAAGTGAGAGAATGGCCAAAAATCAATGACAGACCATAAATGAATTGATAGAAAGAACGAGAGATGCATATTAGTAAGTCGAGGAAGAGGGAAATATTGATCAAACAATTTTATTTATGAAAAAATTGAAAATAAGTTTAGAATCAGTTTTAAATTAATATATTTATTATTATAATATTAAGTGATTTTTTTATAATAATGATTTTTTTACAATAATATTAAGTCATTATTAAATTCAGATTG